ACGGGCCTGCTCTGGGTCATAGTAGCCCTAAACCCTAAACCCTAAACCCTAAACCCTAAACCCTAAACCCTAAACCCTAAACCCTAAACTACCCTAAACCCTAAACCGTTTAAGGGCACCGAGGCTGCCAAAAAAAAGGGAATAAGGGCCCTGCTCTGGGTCCTAGTCAAATTTCTCCTCCGAGGTGCCTAAGAACTGGATGCGGCTTGGTGGTGTCGCCACCAGCCTGAATGTACGTTTGGAGCTTTTGGGGTTTTTGAGGCGGGGCTTTTGAGGAGGTTTAGGGTTAAGGGTTCTAAGTTTTAGGGTTGTTGCGGTTTAGGATTACCTCAACATTGAATTCCAAACTAGCCGCTGGTTCAGCATCACTTGGGATGTTCCCCCCTTGTTCTGACAGTCGGGACTGTTCGTATAAAGGGGAACATAAGAATCACCGCAGGGGTACTGTCAAAGCTAACTTCACCACGGTGTGAAACATGACTCAGCAAGAGCGAACCTCAAACGGGGGAACCTGAAACAAAAACCACAGAGGTCACGCAAACAAAGAACAGAACCCAAAACCGCAAATCTCGACCTTTGCCCCAAACCCTAACCCTAAACCCTAAACCCTAAACCCTAAACCCTAAACCCTAAACCCTAAACCCTAAACCCTAAACCCTAAACCCTAAACCCTACTAGCAGTACACTTGGCTGCCTCCGCCATGGCCATTTCCACTGCGGCCCCCGTCAGGGACTCCCAGATCTCAGGGACATGCAGCGGGCGTTGCAGGGTTGAGAGGGGGTTTAGGGTTTAGGGTTTAGGGTTTAGGGGCTTGTAGGGTGTAGGATTTAGGGTTTAGGGTTTACAAGGTGCAGGGTTTAGGGTTTAGGGTTTGGGCTTTAGGGATTGGAAGGTGTAGGGTTTTAGGGGTTTAGGGTAGGGAGTATAGGGCGTAGGGTTTATAGTAGTTAGGGCTTCGTGTTGTTTAGGGTTTAGGGCCCAGGGTGGTTGAGGGCGCTCCAATAGTCTAAGGTGGCTTTTGTTTTGCTTAGGGCAGTTGAGGGTTTAGGGTCCAGGGTTTAGGGTTTGCGGGTTAGGGTTTGGGGTTAGGGTTTTAGGGTTTGGGGTTTCAGGGATGTGTCTCCGGGCGTGTTTTCCCTCCCTCTATCTGTAGTTACAACCCCTAGTAGCCCTGATTGGAGCGACCCGAAACCCCTACACCCCAAACCCCAAATCCTAAAACCTAAGCCCTACACCCTAAACACCCAAGCCGCTAATAAGCAGCAATAAGCCGAGCCCTAGGCCTGCACCCTCAACTTGCAAAGAGCCCCTGCTCCCTCAAAAGGTTGCCGGACCTCTTCCATCTCCAACTTTGCCACTGTGGCCTGGCGAAAAGCGTCACTGATCCTAACCCTAAACTCTAACCCTAAACCCTAAACCCTAAACCCTAAACCCTAAACCCTAAACCCTAAACCCTAAACCCTAAACCCCAAACCCTAAACCCTAAACCCTCAGGCCTAAACCCTCAACCCTAAACCCCAACATGGCATGGGCCTGATGTTGCCCTAAACCCCTCTAACCGCCCTTGAAACCTCAACCCCTGAACCCAAAAACCCCAAACCACACGCTGCGAATTCCCAACCCCCGGATCGCATTTAGGGCTTAGGGTTTAGGGCTTAAGTAACCTCCTGGCTCTTCACAGAGAACTCGGAAAGTTGGTACCCGATCTAGTTCTTCAGAAGGTTGTGTAGGGAGATAGTAGCCCTAAACCCTAAACCCTAAACCCTAAACCCTAAACCCTAAACCCTAAACCCTAAACCCCAAACCCCAAGCCCTTGTCGCCTCATCCAAGGCAGGTCCGTGCCGGCCGATGCGTGACAAGGCCTCCGGGCTTCTTAGATTCTGATTCGGGAAGTCCTGGGCTTGGGGTTTAGGGTTTAGGGTTTAGGGTTTAGGGTTAGGGCTACTAGTTCTGAGGTGGGAACTCGGGAGCTAGGTACCTCATCGTCCTCCTTTTTACAATCCTGGGGAGCCGACGAAAAACACTTCAACTTTTTGCCGTTGGGAACAGAGGAGCCCCTTGAAGAAACCGAAAGCCGACCTTTTGCTTTTGGGGTCTTGATAGTAGCCCTCAACCCTCAACCCCTAACCCAAAGCAGCTATACTTCGAGTTCTTTCACAGCCTCCTTGGGGCTTTCTAGATGCCATACTACCCCACCCTACACTGTGCGGTCTAGCGTTTTAGAGTTTTAGGGTTTTAGGGTTTAGAGCCTAGGGCTTAGGGTTGAGGGTTTAGGGCTGGTAATCCCTGCAGGCCAAGATTCCGCGCAGAGCTGCAGCCGCAGGCAGGCTGTTGCCAGCCGCACGACCAGCGCCCGACCACCCTCTCAGAGGCAGTACCAGGCTTTCGGGTGCAGAGTGTATACGGGGTAGGGCTCTACACATGCATCATGCTTCTCATACTGATTTTTGTCGTGCTGTGTAGATGATGTTTTACAGTGCCATGGAATTTGGGTTGTATAAAAGACCGTATCTATGTTATCTTGAACTCCGGGTGGCAGGGATGGGCAATAACCGTCCTGAACCCGCTGCTCACTCTGAAGACACCCTAAACCCTAAACCCCAAACCCTAAATCCTAAACCCTAAACCCCAAACCCCAAACCTTAAACCCTAAACCCTAAACCCCAGACCCTAAACCCCCTGAGCCATCCTCCGGAGCTGGCGAGCTGTGCGCATTTACCAGGGCGTAGGTCCGACGTAGCCTGGGGATCGCAGGCATCGAGCCCTACCACGCTTCGGGGTTTAGGGTTTAGGGTTAGGGTTGAGGGTTTCGGGTTGAGGGTGTTTAGGGTTCAGGGTTTAGGGTTTAGGGTTTAGTGTTTAGGGTTTTTAGGGTTTTTAGGGTTTAGGGGTTAGGGTTTAGGGATCAGGGTTGAGGGTTTTTAGGGTTAGGGTTTAGGGTTGCGGGTCCAGGGATCGAAGACTGAGGCCCGAAACCCCAACCTTGAAACTCCTCGGAGTGGAATGCTCAGGGGCTTTCAGGGCTTGTGGGGTTTAGGGTTGAGGGTTTAGGGTTTTGGGTTTAGGGTTTAGGGTTTCGGGGTTGAACAGGCTGAAGTTGGGATGTTCCCCCTTCTACTAACAGTCCGTAGTCGGGATTATAGCACCCCCTACTAGAATCCCTGTTAAGGACTGTTAGTATAATGGGTGCCTTAGAGATTTAAAGGGTTTAAAGGGTTTAGGGCTTAGAGTTTGAGGTTTATAGGGTTGGGGTTTAAGTTAAAGGACTGAAGCCGTCGCAAACAAAAACAGACACACACACACACACAGGGAATATAAGTTGGGATGTTCCCCCTCATACTAACAGTCCTTCATGGGGATTATAATGCCCGATTATAATCTTTATTCAGGACTGTTAGTCTAAGACGGTGATGGCACCCTAAACCCGACACCTTCAATTCAAACCGCTGAGGCTTGGCTCGCATGGCTGAAACTAAGTAGCCAAAGCTTCCTAAAGTTCCTAAAGTTCCGAAAGTTCCTAAAGTACCTAAAGTTCCTAAAGTTCCTAAAGTTCCTAAAGTTCCTAAGGTTCCTAAAGTTCCTAAAGCCAAAACCCTACGAAAGCTTGAGGACCTACCGCTACTTGTGAGGGCGCACAAACCCCGGCTCCTGCTTCTAAGAGCGGCGCGGGAACAAGCATACAAACAAAGTGTGCAAACACTAACCAAAACCCTTAAACCCCTAAAATCCTTATCTCAAACTCTTGAAACCCCCAAGCCCTTAAACCTTTCATCCCCTGACTTCCTTAACTCCCTAGTAACAGCAAGGAGCCGGGTGATGGCCGCCTGAACCCTAAACCCTAAACTTCCCAAAGTGCCAAAGTGCCCCCCCCCCCCCCCCCCCAAAGCCAAGGAGTAGGCTGTTGGGGCCCTAAACCCTAAACCCTAACCTTCCTAAACTTCCTAAACTCCCCTTAGTACGAAGCCAAAGAGCAGGGCTATAGCGCCCTGAACGCTAGACTTCCTGCACCCTAAACTCTAAGCCCTAAGCTTCCTAAACCCTCAAGCCAGAAATGCCCTAAACCCTAAGCCCTAAACTTCTAAACCCTCCAGACTTTAAACCCTAGACCCTAAACCCAAAAAATCCTCAACCCTTCTTGGAACGCCCGAGGAGCAGGGTGATGGCGCCATAAACCCTAAACCCTATAAAGCCCCTAAACCCCCTAAACCCCCTAAACCCGAAACCCTAAACCCTAAAGCCTAAACCCTGGACCTTCCCCTAAACCCTAAACCCTAAACCCTAAACCCTAAACCCTAAACCTCCAGCCGAGGAGCAGGGTGATGGCGCCCTTGTAGTCCCGGCTCCTGACCTTGGCATCGGCCACCTCGGAGTGGCGATCCAGCACAGCCAGCAAGGCATCCTCAGGGGGTTTAGGGTTTAGGGTTTAGGGTTTAGGGTTTAGGGTTTAGGGTTTAGGGTTTCGGGTTTAGGGTTTAGGGTTTCGGGTTTAGGGTTTAGGCTGCAGGAACTCGGGTCCTTCAGGGAGGGGTTCGTGATTCATGGGGGGTAGGTACCTAGGGAACCTTAGGGAAGCTTAGGGGGGCTTAGGGAGTAGTGGGGAGAATTGGGGGAACCTTGGGGTGCCTACACTCTTAAAGCCCCCTCCCTTAAGCACCCTATAACTTGAACTCATCTTTTCGGATCTTGCTGGCGTGTCCGCTGGCTCGGTAAGATTGCGATCGCTTCCATGGCTTTCACCGTGTGTGAAGAATCCGATGCATGGATCGTGATAGTACTCAAGCCATTCCCTACAAAGTGCTATACAGAGGAGGAATGGGAGAGAACTCCTCGCGCGTCTCGTTCCGGCAAGCTCCCTAGAGCTGCCAGCTCGTAGGCACGAGGTAATGTAAGCCGAAAAACAGGCCTCGAGGCCTGCGACTTGTTACAGTTTTCAAACGCGTGCATGTCCTGAATTTCAACCCTTTTTCTGGTGCATGGGGCCCAGAGTTTAAGAAGGCCCTAGACGATTGCTCCTACGTACTTCTGCAAAGCACCATGCCACTCATCACCTCTCCTGACGCACAGGATGTTCGCCCATGGGATCGGGCGGTGGGTGCTCTCATCCTGCATGGTCCAGCAGCCCGTGATCTTCTGCAGCTTCCCGTTGTTCCCAGCCCAGAAGCAGTCGAGGTCATAGTCATCCAAGCCTTCAGCGACTGAAAGAAGCGAGGTTCGACTCCAGGGTGATCCAGTCAGGTCCTGATGCACCTCGAAGAACAGCAGCCGCAGAGTCTTCAGGGCCTTGGCGGCGCCGGCCAGCACCAGGGGATCGTGGCCTTCCGTGTCCACGGACAAGACATCCACGCGCGAGAGGCCGCGAGAAGCCATCAGGGCGTCGACCTGGCGGAGGAAAGTGACAGAGAGTGTCCTGACTGCCAGCCTACAGGACGGCCTATTATAGTTGGAGCACAGGGAGCCAAAACAGAGAGAGGGAGAGAGACACAGACACAGACAGAAGCACTGCACAGACGCAGGCACAGATGCCGGCACAAACACAGACGCAGACTCAAAGCCGACGCATTGCTGTGGACGCATGCGCGACACAAGCTTTCTGAATGAATGCCGGTATGCAGACGTCACATCGACCTTCACAGTCTCGATCTGGCGAGAGTTCCCAGCTGGATCTACCGGGGAGGCAACATCGAGCCCGAAGTCTTCGGTGCCGACTTGACCGGATGGGAAATCAGCCACACCAACGTGGTCCGACACTGCCGCGTGGACAATCTCGAATGCGTTGCTGCTGTTCAGGACTCTGCGGTGCAAGGCGCGCATGACCTCCACGTTGGCAGACATGGGCTCGACGCAAATGACAGTCGGATTGTTGGAAGAGCTGGCAACGCGTTGCGGCCACTCGCTCTGGTTATTCTGGCAGCTTCCTGCTCGGATGGCGCCCTCCTCCTTGAGACCTTCGTGCCACGCCTGAAAGATGCCGGGGCTGCGACCCCAAAGGTCCAGGTACTTCACTGCGTCCGCGCCTGTGTTGCAGCCCACATCCAGAAAGACGGTGTTCGCATCCACGGGGCGCGTGTCATGTGCAAGAAGGTGCGCTACCCAGCCATCCTCTTCTGGGCAGTTGGTGGTCATTTCAAGGCTGCGAAAAGGCAGGCACTGCAATGCATCCCCGCGTCCCAAGGCAGACACTTCGGACAAAGAAGGCCATGCACTTAAGGACGACATGCCGATTGCCAGCAGGACCCCCACAGTGGCCAGAGCTTCCCCCAAGTTCTTTTTGAAGAAGGCCTGTGTAGACCAACCTAGGCTGCCCAGTAACCTAGGCTTAAAAAAAGGGTGCCCTTTTTTTGCTTAAAGGGGCTTATAAGGGAGCCTAAGCCCCCAAAAAGGGAATAAGGGCACTACTGGGCATCCTAGCAACTCTGCTTCTCCACCATGCCGAACATGGTTTGCATCACGACGGCTGGCGACATGACTCTTTGCCGCGGAGCTTGAGATTGCTTGAGGCGCAAATGCTGTGGGGGGCGAGGAAGAAAAAGGAGCTTCCGATTCACACGCAGAAGCGAAAAATGCGATGGACCTCTCTAAGAGCGTTCAAGGTTCCCCCCCTCTGGAAACCCCGGTGCAAACCCCACAAGAACTCTGCAAGAACTCTGAAGCCTAAAGCCTAAAACCCAGGCTAAACTCTAAACCCTAAACCCTAAACCGCTGTGGGTTACATACCCCGCCCCAAACCCAAAACCCTAACCCTAACCCTAACCCTAAACCCTAAACCCTAAACCCTAAACCCTAAACCCTAAACCCTAAACCCCATAAAAAGCATTCGCGCCGCGCTTCATCCCGGCCCTTGGAGGTCTGGAGCTTGTTGGGCGGGCCGGGCCGGCGTGGGTCGAAGGCGTCGGGGCGGATGTTGTAGCTCGCCAGGGTGGGCTTGCTCCTCTGAGGTTGAGGGTTTAGGGTTTAGGGTTTAGGGTTTAGGGTTTCGGGTTTAGGGTTTCGGGTTTCGGGTTTCGGGTTTAGGTGGGGGGTTTACCAAGACAGGGGACCCCTAACATAGAACCCCAAATAGTAGGATTCCTTTGCAATAAGGACGGCAATAAGGTACCTAACTAGTTCATGGTTGGGATAGTATTGCATTCCTTATTGGGTTTAAGTACCCTCAAAACTGTAAAGTGTTACCCCACTGTGACAAAGCTCAGGCTCAGGTAGTTTTGCAACCCCCCTGAAGCCCTAAACTTGATTGAAACCACACATAAGCTCTGAACCCTAAACCCGAAACCCTATTCCCGAAACCCTAGACCCGAGACCCTAGACGTTTCAGGGCTGAAGGAAGCTGTTGATTTTCGAGCTTGGGCCCTAAACCCTAAACCCTAAACCCTAAACCCTAAACCCTAAACCCTAAACCCTAAACCCTAAACCCTAAACCCTAAACCCTAAACCGTGCCCCCAAGGCTTTTTTTGGGAAGGGACGCCTGGGTTCAAGGGTTGGTCTAGGGCCAGGGTCTGGTTTAGGGCACTGTGCCCTGCAAAGCTCGGGTTCTGAACATTGAGCACACGGGAATAGGGTTTAGGGCTTAGGAACAAGGTTTAGGGTTTAGGGTTTAGGGTTCAGGGTTCAGGGTTTTGGGTTTAGGGTTTAGGGCGCCCAGTAGAGCTCATGGCAGCCAGGGCGCGCCACGTCCACCGGCGCTGGCGCTAACGGCATCCCTATTGCGCCATCGCGAGGCTGCACTGTCTCCCAACGTCTCAAGCCACTCTCATGGAGGATGGGGGGGGGTTCCGAAAATGGGGTTGTGCGTTTTTGAGGGGATTCATCGTATTTTGGGGTATCTCAGGGGTACCCATATTTTGGGAAATGCCCGTTCTTGCGTCAGGGATGCGTTGTCATGAGTGCGACACCCGTCTTGTTTGAGATGATTTCGGGGGTCGCTGGCTATGGGCTATATACCCCTAAACCCCAAACACATGGAGGCCCCCGGAACCCTAAGTGCCGTTTTCTTTGGGCCAATGCCGGTGTGGAAAGCGACCAAATTACATGCGGGCTTGCGGGCCGGTAGGTACCAGATACCTTGCCCCCTCAACCCTTAACTGGGGTGGGCTTTGGGCGCCCGAGAAAAAGCTTCAATGATCGGTTACATGGGGGGGTTATACAAAGAACTTCGAAACACCAAGTCAACCCCAGCTCTCCGCAAACCCAAAACCCCCCAAAACTCCCTAACCCCGCAAGCCCGGAAAAAAACTCCTACATCCAGGCGATTCTTTTGCCCCAGAACCGGCCCATCGGCCAGAATCCCAGCGATCACTTGGGCACCAGTTGTAGTTTGGGCTGCTGCCAGCCGCCTTCGAAGGCCTCAAGGGAGAGTTCCGGCTTTAGGGTTTAGGGTATCGGATTTAGGGTTTAGGGCTTAGGGTTTAGGATTTCGGGTATCGGATTGAGGGTTTAGGGCTGAGGGACTCCCCCGCACCCCCCAAAAGCCTTCTCGGCCCGCGCTTATCTGCGGCCTGATGCCCCTAAACCCTGAAGCCCGAACCCCATAAGCCACTTCCGACGTTCTTTTCGGTACGCAAGCAGCTTCTGACCCTAAACCCTAAACCCTAAACCCTAAACCCTAAACCCTAAACCCTAAACCCTAAACCCTAAACCCTAATGTTTTTGGGGCTTCAAGGGGTTTAGAGGCTCCAGCTCATAGATGGTGAGGGTTGTGCAGGGCCGAATTACAGGGGTTAGACCCGAAAGCCTCAAGCCCAAACGGGCTTAAAGGGTTTGAAGGGCGGCAACCCTAAACCCTAAACCCTAAACCCTAAACCCGAAACCCTAAACCCGAAACCCGAAACCCTAAACCCTAAACCCCTCGAAAGGCATTAGGGTCTGGGGTTGGGCGTCCGGAGGGACATAAGAGGTGGAGGGTGCCAGAAGTGACCCTAAACCCGAAACCCTAAACCATAAACCCTAAACCCTAAACCCCAAACCCTAAACCCTAAACCCTGAAGCAGCCTCTGACTTGGGCAGGTAGAGCCGCATGACCTGACGTTTCGCTACGCCTTGGGGGGCTATTGAGCATCTTAGGGTCTTAAACCCTAAACCCTGAACCCTAAACCTTAAACCCAAAACCCTGAACCCTAAACCCTAAACCCAAAACCCCAAACTCAGGGTCTGAGGGGAGTACGTGTCTGTAATTTAGGGTCTTGGGGGTTTAGGGTTTCGGGTTCTGACATCTCGAGCACCTCGAGCTCGCACCTGCGAATCCTCTGAGGGTAAGCCGCCCCCCAAGGATGGAAGCTAAGTTTTGGGCGTACATTCCTTTGCACCTTTTTTGGGGTGAGGTTTCAACATCCAAATCCCCTGATACTCGCCCCCCCCCCCCCCCCCTTTTGCCCCTCGGTTTCCCCCCTAAACCCTAAACCCTAAACCCTAAACCCCAAAACCCAAAACCAAAATCCAAACCCCAAGCCCTAACCCCCCCCCCTCCAGCACCAGGTAGAAAGGTCCAGAAGGGGCCGGCAGCCAGTTGCCCTCCTGCGAGCAAAAGTGCTAAGACTCGACAGGGATGGTAGAACCGGAGGTGTACACCATGCTCTTTCTATCTGTCTTAAACCTTGAAAACCCCCAAACCCTACACCCCTAAACACCCTCAAACCCTAAACCCCTAGAACTCTACACCCCTAAAAACCCTCAAACCCTGACCCCCGAAAACCCTCAGACCCTAAACCCCCCTTCTTCCTTGTGGACCCTATAGGGAGACAGCAAGGGAGTCGCCCGCTCAAGAAAGACATCGGCGCTGACCCGGCCCTGATGCCTCCATCACCTCCCTCTTTGATGCCCGAAAATAAGGGTTTTTTGGGGCTCAGGGTTGAGGACTTCTTGCCGAAGCTTGACCCTCAACCGCCTAAAAGCCCAAACTCTGAACCCTCTACCTTAAACCGTGAACTCTCTTAACTCCCTGAGCCCCTAAACCCCAAACTCGAAACCCTCAACCTTAAACCCTGAACTCCCTTAACTCCCTTAGCCCCAAACCCCGAACTCTAAACCCTCAACCTTAAACCCTGAACTCCCATGACTCCCTCAATTGACTCCCTTACCTGAACTCTCTTAGCTCCCTTAACTCCCTTAACTCGACGTAACTCCCTTAACCCCCTTAAGGGCTTGTTTAGGGTTTAGGGTTTAGGGTTGAGGGTTGAGGGTTTAGGGTCCGCTCAGGACCCGGAGAGGACGCGGAGATGTACAGCGTCACAGAACCTCGGCTTGGCGATTTCTTACTGTGGCCTAAGCCCCTAAAACCCTAAACCCTAAACCCTAAACCCCAAACCCTAAACCCTAATCCCCCAGACCCCTAGACCCCTAATCCCTAGAAGCCCCCGGACCCCTGCGGCCAAGTGGCCGTCCTCGGAGATCTTCATGGAGGGCAGGATGGCGCCTAGGTTAATCTCGATCTTCTTAAAATAGTTTAGAAACCAAGCCTACCCTAGGCTCAAACCCCCCCCGGGTACATGGGTAATGGAAACTAAGAAACTTAGGGTACCCTATCGCCGGAAAACCGTTTTCTTATACAGCGTTTTTACTGTATGAATATTGTTAATATTCATCATCATATGATTCGTACTATAATCAAAATAATAAAGACTATTCATACTAACCATAGTATCAGTAGTGCTAATGTTATTGACTTGAAGCTCCCCATCTGAAAAAAAACGTTCCTGAGAGTTGGGCGCCTCTCTTAAACCCACGATTCCAAGATATCAAGCGTCTCAACACCCCGGTTCGGGGATCAGGGTTTTGGGTTCAGGGTTCAGGGTTTAGGGTTTAGGGTTTAGGGTTTAGGGTTTAGGGTTCGGGGTTCAGGGTTCAGGGTTCAGGGTTTAGAGTTTAGGGTTTAGGGCTACCCCAAAAACAGCCATGAACCCCCCCGCCCCCCCCGCCCCCCCCCAGAGCCCTAAGCTCCAATCCCGTAAACCCAACACCCTAACCCCCCCTCTAAGCCCCCAAGTCCTTAAACCCAAAATCCCCCCTCAAAAATGCCGGAGGCTAGGCGCTGTTCAAGAGGCCACGAGAAGCTGCGAGACACCATCGTACCTTGGGGATGAAGACACGGAGGGTTGAAGGGTCTAAGGAAAACGGGACAAGCAAGTAAGGATACATGGGTAGAAGGAGATCTGGACTAAGGATACAAGAGCCAAGGACATACGCATAAGGGCAACAAGGAAGTAATGGATACTAAGGATACAACGATTAACGGGCATGTGAGACGAATTCGGTTGAAGCTTGTGGGGTTTAGGATTGAAGTGGACCTTTTGTGCGACAGCACTTACTTAGCATCTACATGGGAAGATACGGTGACTTATCTTGATGATACACAAAAAGGAAACATAATTCAACTTTCTGGACACAGAAACATGCTGACTCAAGTATAGCATCCCAAGAATACCACATTGACTGGTTTTGTTATTAAGAAGGGCTCGGCCCCCCCCCCCTCCCCCCGGGCGCCCAGAACCTTCGAAGCAAAATGGCTTCGACCCACACGCTGATCTGTATGCCCTTACGACTGAAAATTGTGAAAAGCCATTTTCGGGCTCAAGGTCGCTTAGGGTTTGCAAGGATATGATTCAGGCCCTAATCAACCCCAGACACATCGTCAACGACCAGAACGCCTTCGCAATCTCTTGGTCCTGGCGTCGATCTGCGATTGCTCCAGGGTTGTTTGGGGCGCCTCGCGGCCGCCCCCCCCCCCCCCCCCAACCTAAGACACTTTTTGCGCGAAAAAGCCTTAAGACCCCCCCCCCCCCCCCCCCCCCCCCAAGAGCCCTAAAACCCCACAAGGCCTAAAACCCAAACCCTAAAGCCTAAGAGCTCTAAAGCCTCAGGAGCCCTGAACCAACCCCCCGCCCCCCGTCAAAGGGGATTTTCTTCTCACCCCAGAAACCCTACAACCCTAAACCCCACAACCCTAAACTCTACAACGCGTAAACCCTCAACCCTGCAGAAATCTGAAAACCCTAGAACCCAGAACCCTACAAGACCCTCAAAAACCCTGCAGAACTCTGAGAGATCTCGTCTCCTGTTTGCTCAGGACCAGCTTGTAGGAGGACTTGGAAGCATCAAGGACTTGCCCGTCTAAACTTTTGTAAAGCCTTGGCTTGGGAGTTGAAGGGCGGGGGGGGGGGGGGAGGGTTTAGGGTTTAGGCTTTAGGGTTTAGGGTTCAGGGTTTAGGGTTCAGGGTTCAGGGTTTCGGTTTAGGGGAAAGGTCCCCAAATAGCAGGAGTTAGGTACCCCTAATTTCGGAAACCCCCAATTAGGTCAAGGCAAACTGGGGGTCTAGACTTCCAGGCTGACGTCAACACAGGGCCTATCGTAGGAGATCGGAAGTACGGGCCCTTAATTTGGGTCCCTTGTTGTAATATAACCCTTACATGTACTAAGGGCCTATGCTTCGGATCCCTATAAGCCAAGCGTAACGGACCACACTCAGGCCCATGGTTCCAACTGTTCCAACTTGAGATAAAGGGCCTGTAGGGCTTTCGGCCTTGTAGAGCGCAGGGTTTGGGTGTTACTTAGGCCCTCGGTAGCGCTGGAGAACACAGAGCAACGAGGCTGGGAGTTGTGAAATATCGGCCAAGACGCGGCCTCATTCGTCTTGGTGCAGGTCAGTGGTTGTAGCTTAGGGAGCATAGACTCCGCTAAAGACACGCAAACAACAGCCACACCGAACTCGTGCTGTTCAACCGTGAAAGTCTGAGAAACTGTGGGAGGTCTAAGGTTTTTCAGCAAGCCCAATCATACTGCAAACAGCTGCATGCCCAACCCGACCGCCCAAATACCCGGAAGCCCTAAAACCCAAACCCCCAAACCCAAAACCCAAATCAAACCCTAAACCCTAAACCCTAAACCCTAAACCCTAAACCCTAAACCCTAAACACCACACCAAACCCCACAAACCCCAAACCCCAAACCCCAAACCCTAAACCCTTAACCCTAAAAAATGGGACCGACCGCTTGAGCCGAAGGGACGGGTAGAAAGCCTCCTCACGGGAGTTGCCGTAGATGCCCAGCTTGGCGCCCGCGAACCTGTGGCTTTAGGGGGGAAGTCTTGGGGGGCTTTGGGTTTAGGGTTTCTGGTTTAGGGCTTCGGGTTTAGGATTTATTAAGGGTTTAGGGTTTAGTCAGGGTGGACATCGGGCGTTTATATGACTTTGTGCGGGTTTTATACCAGGTATACATAGGCTTTATTTGGGTGAGTTCGATAAAAAGGTTTATGTAATACAGTCTGTCGGGTTTACAAACAAAAGGTGTCGCAGGGTTCGGGTTGAGTTTGGTTGGGCTGCCGTCTTGTGGGTGCAGGGGTTGAAAAACCCCGAATAACCCTCCTGACCCTGAAGCCCCAAAACTTGGGAGGTTCCCCCCTAAAATTACTAAAAGTCCTTAACCTATTATGGACTGTTAGTATAAGGGGGAACATCCCAGCCTAAAACCCTAAACCTTGATGCATCAAACCTTTGGGAAGGCCTGCTAGGTTTCTAGGGTTATCGGTCCCAAAACCCGAAACCTGAAACCCGAAACCCTAAACCCTCAAAATTGAAACTCTGAGGCCTGGGGTTGTAGGGTCTCCGTCCCCCCACCCCCCCCCCACCCCCCCACCCCCCCCCCCCCCTCCCCGCACCCCCCCCCCCACCCCCACCACCCCCCCCCCCCCACCCCCCCCCCCCCCCCCCCCCCCCCCCCCCACCCCCCCCCACCCCCCCCCCCCAAAACACTTGGTGTGCTCGTTTTTCAGGAAGTCACGGGTGCCAAAGAGGTCAGCGCTGGAGAGCTTTCCCTGGGCCATGCTCTTCTCGATCGCGTCGAACTCGCCCCAGCCATCCTCGCACCCTAAACCCTCAACCCGTTTAGGGTTGAGGGTCTAGGGTCTAGGGTTTAGGGTTTAGGGTCCTAGGGGGGGGGGGGGGGGGGGTAGGGGGGGGGGAAGGGGGTTTTTTCCAAAAGAGATGTTAAGGTCTAAGGTCTAGGGTGTAGGGTTTAGGGTTTAGGGTTTAATTATCAAGGAACGAAAGGAGGAAGGGAACTTAGGGGTTCTTTGGGGCTTGTTGGCTAGGGGCTACTTCGGTACATAGGGACTAGACAAGGGGTACCTCCTCATACCCCTTAACCTAAACGGCCCCAAGGCCTGAACCCTATATCCTCGTCCTAGACTCAAGTGACGCGAAGCCCAAACCTCCCTTGGCTTGCTCTAGTTGTTCCTTTGTGTTTGTGCCAGTGTTTCGTTCACTCGGTTTTGTTGAAGCACGTCTTTCGTTGCTTTTCGTTGCTGCCATTCAAAAGGGTACCCTTTTTTTGGATTTAAGGGTGTCATCAGGGAACCCCAACCCTAAACAGGAAATAAGGGCCTACTCCGGGTACTAGCCATAAACCCTAAACAACCCTAAACAACCCTAAACCCTGATAAGCAATCCTAAACCCTCAGCCTTTACTTTTTTGGTCTTTTTCTGGGGTTCAGGATTCTGACTTAGATGTGAACCTCACCACCCAAAAAATGGGAACAAACAACCAACAAGGGTACTACTAGAACTCCTCGCGTCATGTACCGGAAGGAGAGACAACACAAAGTCGAGGATCTCATACCTGGGCATTCTGGCAGAGTGCGGGGCCTCCGGGGATTTGCATCAGGAACCCCAGAACAACTACAGCATAATGACCCCAAAAGGCGGTGACATTCACAAAGAGGTTCAAGCACCCTAAACCCTAAACCCGAAACCCGAACCCTTAATAATGAAGCCAATCCCGGGTTCCGGGTTCAGGGCTGCGGGGGTCTCAGTGCTGAGATATTTTCGACTGGCTTTTGCACACCGTATTGAGCCGCTCCAAACGACGCACACTTCTACCAGAAAGCACGAAAGAGTCGCTAAACCTAAAACCCTAGAGTATCCTGCAGCCCCCTAAACCCCTGTGTAGGGTTTAGGGTTTAGGGCTTAGGGTTTAGGGTTGAGGGTTGAGGGTTTAGGGTTGAGGGTTCAGGGTTCAGGGTTTAGGGTTTAGGGTTGAGGGTTTAGGGCCCTGAAACCCCCAAAACTTTCAAACACATACTGAGCCCCTGAGCCCAGTCGCATCTTCACCGACTGGGTCACTTCCTTGTCCGACATGGGCCACTGCCTTACTGTTGGTTAGCAAGGAATTGCCCTAAACCCTAAACCCCAAACCCCAAACCCCAAACCCCAAACCCCAAACCCCAAACCCTAAACCCTAAACCCTAAACCCTAAACCCTACATCCCAGACCCTATATATTCCCAGTGAGCTGCAGCTGCTTGGACTCCGGAGGGGGCTTGCCCAGGTAAGCGCTGAGGGTGTCGACCTTGTAGCCCGCCTGGATAGCCTGTGCGTTGCCCTAAACCCTAAACCCTAAACCCTAAACCCTAAACCCCAGACCCCAAACCCCCAGGTATGATGGAGGGTTTAAGGGGGGTCGGGCTTAAGGGGTTGAGGGGTTTAGGGTTGAGGGGGATCATTTTAATTTGGTGAGGGGATGATTGGGGACGGACCTAAGCTCCAACTTGTTTTTGCGGGCATGTTGCCCCTTGTTTTTGTGGGTCTGTGTGTTATGGTCGGTTTGGGGTCACTGAAGAAGGGCCCTATGATTTCGATCAACACCCCAATTGAGGAGTTAAACCCCAACCCCTGGACCCTAAGTCTGCTAAGGATTGCGGGGAATGAAGGAAGGTCTATGCACGTTTAGCTTGAAGTGGGATGTGGGTAGATTTCCGACAAGTACACGGTGCCCCTTCATTCGCAGGATCCAACCCTCAATCCCAAAACCAAATGTTCGGAAAGATCCATGTCGACATATCTCTCTCCGTAGCTAAACCCTAAAACCCCCAAACCCGATGGACTAAATCCTAAACCCTAAACCCCAAACCCCAAAACCCTGAACCCCCAAACCCTATACCCCCAAACCCTAAAACCCTAAACCCCCGAACTTCTAAACCCTAAGCGGGCCCCAAACCGTAAACTCCAAACCCTAAACCCCCTAAACCCCCTACACCCAAAACCCAAAACCCCAAACCCCAAACCCTAAACCCCAAACCTCAACCCCAAAACCCTAAACCCCTAAACCCGGAAGGAGGGTCGAGTAAACATCACGTTAAGACTCGAGATCTGCATCCTCAGGGGGTTCTGGGGGGTTCTCAGTCGAGTCTGCGCCCCTGGGGTGCGCACCCGAGTCTTAACATGAATGTTTTTTCGACACCCCACGTGTCGAAAAAAAGCGCCTTCAACGTGCGCCCTCTTTTTTGATCTTGCAACCCAATGTGTTGGACTTGGTTTCTGTAGTGATTTCCTATTTCCGTGTTTGTTTTTTTTGGTTTTGTAAAAATGGCTGCTATTTTTTCAATTGTTTCCCGTTTTGTTTTATTTGGTTGCTTATTTCACCCCTATTTTGCCCCACTCATTCGGTTTCTTGTTCAGCTTTGGTTTTATTCCGAAACAGGGGTTTATTCTCGGGGCTGCAAGGCCTAGACAATTTGGGTGTTTAGGGGCTGTTTAGGGGTTCAGGGCTTGGGGTTCGGGGTTTAGGACAGTTTCTCGTATTTCTTCGGGTTTGCTTGTTAAAAACAAACGAAAAAAGAGACACTTTTAGGGTTTAGGGTTTAGGGTGTAGGGCTTGGGGTTAAGGGTTTAGGGACAGTTTTTCGCAAATCTTAGGGTTGTTCGGTACGAAAAAGGGTGTAGGGTTTAGGGGCTCAGGGTTTCGGGTTTAGGGGCTGTTTAGAGGCCAAGGGCTTGGGGTTCAGGGTCTAGGACAGTTAGGGTTTAGGGTTAAGGTGTTTAGGGTTTTGGGTTTAGGGATTTTTGAGGTTTAGGGTCGAGGACATTTAGGACAGTTTTTCGTACTCCCTAGGGTTTGCTTGTCCAAAAAAGGCACTATCAGGGTCTAGGGTTAAGGTGTTTAGGGTTTTGGGTTTAGGGGTTTAGGGCTTTTTGAGGTTTAGGGTTGAGGACATTCTTTCGTACTCCTTAGGGTTTGCTTGTTTTTCAAAAAATAAGACACTTTCAGGCTTTAGGGTTTAGGGCTCCAGGGGTTTCGGGATTGGTTCTGGGTTTCTTTTGGGCTGCGAGGCCTAGACAGTTTAGGTGTTTGGGGATTAGGGGCTGTTTAGGCGTTTAGGGCTTGGCCTTCAGTGTTTAGGACAGTTTCTCGTACTCTTTAGAGTTTGCTTGCTAAAAAAAACAGACACTTTCAGGGTTTAGGCTTTAGGGGTTTAGGGCTTGGAGATCAGGGTTTAGGGACAGTGTTTCGTACTCCTCAAGGTTGTCTTCTATGTATACAATCAATTGGAACTTCAATGGTTCGAACAACGCTTCTTTTGAACGTTGTTTTTGAAGCTTGCCACTGCCTTACCTCCTATGTCTCAAGGCACCCGGGGAGGCCCCGTGCATTTTGCAGCGACTGGAAAATGCACTGCGGGAAGCCCCGCCACTTACAAAGCATCAAACACACAATGCGTTTTGTGGGCTCCGACAAACACACCAGATGCATCTTGCGGGGCCCCAAAAATGCATAGCGGACAGTCTGGGGAGGGGCTCAACTGGGGATAGATGCGCACGGAAGTCTTAACTTGATGTTAACTCGACGCTTGACGTGATGTTTTCTCGGCCCTGCCTCCCCTAAACCCCCGAACCCGAAACCCCCGAACCCCACACCCTAAACCCTAAACCCTGAACCCTGAACCCTAAACCCTAAACCCTAAACCCTAAACCCTAAACCCCAAACCCTAAACCCTAAACCCGATGGCCTTCACCTTGTCGATGTCCTCAGGGTTTTTCAGCTGCGTGCGCACGATGGCCAGCGCGAAGGGCGTTTCACAGGCCATGACCTTGTCCACCTCGTGGCTCTGTTTTGTGGGGTTTAGGGTTAGGGTTTAGGGTTTAGGGTTTAGGGTTTAGGGTTTAGGGTTTAGGGTTTAGGGTTTAGGGTTTAGGGTTTAGGGTTTAGGATTTAGGGCTTAAGGTTTAGGGTTTAGGGTTTAGCTTCTGGGGCGCAGGGTGCGGGCTCTCCTGGGTCGGTATCCCTAGAGATGGTCTCCGGGTTCTACCTGCTACAGCACACTTTAACACATTCTAGTACAGCAAGGTAGAGAATTAGAGCATAGCATAGCTGGTAGAGTTTAGTATAAAAAGTAAAGTACAGTATACACTCGACAGCATACGGTATGCAGTATGACAGGAGGCGGCAAACAAAATCCAGTACAGCACAGAATTATATGCTGTGATAGACGTGCAGGTGTGATCTAGTGTAAAGTCTATAGCAATAATAATAGCAATATATGACAATGAGCATTGTCTAGTGGGCACAATGGAGGAATATTGGCCCTCCTCCCAGAAAGCGGCTTACGGCAAAAACACACACACATACACGCCTGACATTGGGGGGGGGGGGGGCTCTACCCTAAACCCTAAACCCTTGACCCTAAACCCTAAACCCTAAACTGCTCAGAGGTTCCCTTGGACGAGCCTTCGCCGGCACTCCTCCACCACTGTAGCTGCCACCTGTCCACCCTGGGCCTGTAATCATGTACCTTGGTACCCCAAACCCTAGACCCTAAAACCCAAAATCCTGAAGAACCCGAAACCCTAAACCCTAAACCCGAAACCCTAAACCCTAAACCGCAAAAACTGAAAGGGCGCCACTGGACTGCCAAGGTGCACGCCCCCCGAGTTGCCAGTACATCGGGTGCCGAGGTAGTCGAAGTTGTGCGTGTACATATCAACCATCCTGGATCGTGGCCTCCCTGAATTTGACCCCTCTAACAAGCCCTTTAAAAGCCACCGCAATCCAGGGACGAAACCCTAAACCCTGAACCCTGTACCCTAAACCCTAAATCCTAAACCCTAAACCCCCTCAACCCCGGACAACCCTACCAGAATGCCGGTGCCGGGCATCTGGAAGGAGAAGTAGCGATCTTTCTCCATTGCCGGGACCGTGATCAGCACCGGCTCGGCCCGTAAATCCAGGCAGCAAAAGGAGTAAGGTGTGTCGGAGTTCGGCGTTACGATCACCTATCGTTGAGGGCTTGGGCTGTAGAGGGTTTTGGTTTAGAGGGTTTAGGGTTTAGGGTTTAGGGTTTAGGGTTTAGGAAGTTTTTGGAGGGGTTCAAACGGTTGAGGGATTTAGCGGTGCATGGGGCTTGGGGCAAGACATGGCTAGGGCTAGGGAGCCACCCTAAACCCTAAACCCTAAACCCGAAACCCGAAATCCTAAACCCTAGGCAGCCATCTCGCGCCTTGTCCTCGGGCGTGAAGACCCTTGCCTCGTTGTGGATGCGATTGAACGGGGCCTTGTAGTTTGAGTTCTTCTCATCGATGCCGTAGGCATAGAGGGTGTTGTAGTTCCTCGGGGACGAGATGAACCTTGAAAGGGGTTTATGGCCCATATACCTTCATAGGAACTATAAATTTTATGGTTCATATACCTTGATAAGAATTATCGTAGTACAGGGTATATGACCCCATTCTTTGGGTTCATTTGGTCTTCGAGTTTCTCGCACACCGGCCAGCCGTAGATAAACGCCTCTTTGGCGATGGCTCGCATCTCTGGGCTGGAGAGCGCAGTGCTCATGGCTGGCAAGGGCAGATGAGCTGTGGCAAAAGGAGAAGATACGTTGAAACTAGGGGACCCCCCAATACAGATCTCCAAATAGTAGGATCCCCGTATAAGTGCTGCTGAAACTGAGATCCCTAAGTGCTAGGTGTGTCAACAGCGATAACCTCCTGGCAACAGCCATATGGTTCAGTCTGCTTGTCGTCGGAACCTGTGATTGTTTGGCCTCAAGATATACTAAACTTTGAAACAAAGCTTACAATCATCGGAGTTCGTGGTGGGACATCCTGCAAATATGCTAGCAACCACGCAAAACCCTGACCACCCTGTTGGGGCAACAGCTTTCAATCCGTTTGTGCCTTCGGGGCACGCGTACACTGAGCCCCCAATGAGAGTTGACATCCCACCCCCTCTGCTCCCTAAAGCCTAGAAGAACTGCTAACCCTAAGGTAGTTCCATGGTCCCTTAATATGGGCCCTTAAATGGGGATCCCTGAGATACCCCTCATATTCCCGACACAACCCAGGGGCCCAGACTTCCGAACCCTTTCAAAAAGTCAAGGGACCACATGAAGGGACCATGCAACTTTCCCTTAGAGCTAAATGTTGCAGGCCCTCAAAATCCTAAGCCATCTTTAGTGTTGCTCAGCAGTGGGTTTAGGTTTAGGGTTTGGGGTTTGGGGTTTGGGGTTTGGGGTTTGGGGTTTGGGGTTTGGGGTTTGGGGTTTGGGGTTTAGCGTGCGTTCAGCCCCAAAAAACCACCCCAGTCACCACCTTGGAAGGAGGGCCACAGATGCAGGACATCTTGTTGGGGTTGGTAGTTGAGGGGGCCAAACCCTCAACCCTACAAACCCTAAACCCTCCCTAAACCCTAAACCCTAAACCCTAAACCCTAAACCCTAAACCCTAAACCCTAAACCCTAAACCCTAAACCCTAAACCCTAAACCCGAAACCCTGCATAACTTGAGGGGATATCTAGGGCAGGCTAGAAGGATCCAAGTCCCTTGAGGAGCATGGGTTTTGAGGCTGGACTTCTGAGACTCTTTCGGGTATAGGGTTTAGGGAAAGAAGGTTTAGGGTTTAGGGTTTAGGGTTTAGGGTTTAGGGTTTAGGGTTTAGGGTTTAGGGTTTAGGGTTTAGGGTTTAGGGTTTAGGGAAATCAGGTTTAGGGTTTAGGGTTTAGGGTTTTTCATGTGGCAGTAGCGTCTCAAAGCCTCGAGCCACTCGGCTTTTTGCTCTATCTTGGCCCATTATCTCGTCCTGCCCTTGTTGTGACACGGCCTTGCTCGGATCGTTTCCTGATCCCAGCTACCCGAGAAGCTGCGGCACCACATGCTTTTTCGGGGCACAAGGGCTTCTGCTACACGGGTGTGTCCGGTTCAGGGTCCCGGACTCAGCTTGGGACTTGTTGGGTCGTGACAAAGTTCTAGTGGCCTCGGTGCCCAAAACCCTTATCTACTGTAAAACCCACTTGCGCCCTAAACCGAAAAGCCCTAAACCCTAAACCCTAAACCCTAAACCCGAAACCCGAAACCCAAAAACCATGTTCCAAAGGCTCTCTTTGCCTTTCAGGTTCCTGAGATCCTTTGCCTCGCGGCCCTCAGCGGTCTTCGCCGGTGCCGCGGAGCTCGAGCAGGCCATTCTTTCGCGCGCCAGAGCGCGCTTGCAGGAATTTCTGCGGGGTTTCAACCCTCAATCCTATAAACCCTAAACTATATAAACCCTATATAAACCCTATACCCTCTACCCTGAACCCTAACCGTAACCGCTGAGGGCCTTCGGAGGACATATCCAATGTAGTACTTGCTAGGGATGTTCTTGCCATCTTCAAGAAGAGCCCCTAAGGGGCTCCCACAAGAAGTGCAGAAGCTCACTCCATCGGCTTGGCTTCTTCCTCTAACATTTCCTCAATCAGACGCTCCTCCGCCGGCTGCTCCTCCGCCGGCGGCTCCTCCGCCGGCTTCTCCTCCGCCGGCGGCGCCTCCGCCGGCGGCGCCTCCGCCGGCGGCGCCTCCGCCGGCGGCTCCTCTGCCGGCTTCTCCTCGACCGGCTTGTCCCCGACGGGCTTCTCCTCGACCGGTGTGTCCTTGAGCGGATTGCTCTGCGTCGCAATGGTGCCGTCCTTGACTGGACACAGGGGCACGACTCTCAATTCATCAACTTGTAAGTTATTGTTAAGTTGAGAAAACCGGCTTTGCAGCCCCATGATGCGCTCAGCCGATTGCTTGACATCGTCTGGATACTACACTCAGAAGCAGCGACTCCTTCACCCAAATTCTTCGCAATCATGAGATCAACGAAACGCACCAGAAGCCAAGAAGAAGACCCCCCTCCCCCCCCGGGTTTAGGGTTTAGGGTTTAGGGTTTAGGGTTTAGGGTTTAGGGTTTAGGGTTTAGGGTTTGGGGCCCCCCCCACCCCCAACCAGCTGTGTCTGTGAGAACTCTACCTCGGTGCCGTCCCGAAGAACACATGGGGCTGTCATCTAAATGATGGGACCCCCCCTTTATGGGTCTCGATTACAGCTCTTCCTGCACCACAACAGACCCACAACTCAGGTCAACCGTCGCATCTCATATGGCTTTTTCACTAACCTGAATCCCGGAACTCTGCACCTGCGGACCTTGCTCGCTCTGTACCGAGTCCTAATGCTCGAAACGCCGAACCCCACGCCAAAACCCTAAGCCGGCTGAAAGGGAAACCCGAAAGTTCTTCACCGCCCAGGGCGCCTCCTGAATGTACAAGGTCATGTCGGCTTCCTCAGCCTTCGCTTGGCACAGCATGCTCGGATGTTGCGGGGCAGCTTGTGTGTGTGTGTGTGTGTGTGTGTGTGATATTAAGTACAGGGTCCAGGGTTTTGGGGAGCTGTTGTTATGCACCAGATGCAGCGGGGACGTTGGCAGGGGAGGGCGAGTTTGATGCCTACCTAAACTGACCTGACCTAAACCCTGAACCCTAAACCTTGAACCCTGAACCCTGAGCACTAAACCCTAAACCCTGAACCCTGAACCCTGAACCCTAAACCCTAATGACAGGCAAAGGATGGCGCAAGCAGATGGCTCCCAAGCCCGACGTGAGGTAAACTAAACTGGCCGAACCCTTGAACCCTTGAACCCTGAAGGGTTTAGGGTTTAGGGTTTAGGGTTTAGGGTTTAGGGCTACACCACCCAACCTCCCAGATGCCTGCTCGGCGCTCTCCAATGTGAAAAAGGCCGTGCGAGGTCTCCTATGGATGCGTTGCTCCTCGGCTTCCGCGTTGCCGGCTCAAGGTATACAAAGGGTTGGGATTTAGGGTTTAGGGTTTAGGGTTTAGGGTCTAGGGTTTGGGGTTTGGGGTTTAGGGTTTAGGGTTTGGGGTTTAGGGTTTAGGGTTTGGGGTTCAGGGTTCAGGGTCTAAGGGGGTTTGGGTTTCAGGCTTAGGGCCTCAGGGGGTTAGGGTTTAGGGTTTGTAGGGTCTCCGGGGGTATTGAATTCTCAGCAGGTGCTAGGGGCCGCAGTGGGCCTTGCGGCCTTACGGGGCTTCAGGCTTCGGGGGTTTAGGGTTTAGGGTTTAGGGTTTAGGGTTTAGGGTTTAGGGTTTAGGGTTTAGGGTTTAGGGTTGCAAGGGGGAGGGGGTGGCCAATCTCTTGCTTGGAGCTTGGGGTCCTGCTTCCTCAAGGGGGTCTGGGGTCCGGGATTTTTTGGGGGCTTGCAGGTGTTGAAAGACGCTTCTCGTGAAGCAGGACTTGTAGGGTCTGAGCTAGCCTGCAATGTCCATGTAAAGAGTGCAGGGTAAGACTTCATCGCCAGAGCGGTCGAGACCATGATAGCTAAACCCTAAACCCCAAACCTCAAACCACAAGCCCCAAACCCTAAGCCCTAAACTCTAATCTCTAAACACAATGCTTCGGGAAACGTAAACCGGAAGGTCTGGCATCCGCTGACGATCGCTTTGCCCACCCTTTCCAAATTTGCGCCCAAAGCCCACCGTGAGAAGCACCCCAAGCCTACCTGTTTGAAGGTTTGTACCAAACTATACCCCCGTCGATGCCGCCAAGAAAATAAATTCGATGTCCTTGGGGGTCTTTGCAAGACTTGAAGCAAACCATCCCTAAACCCTAAACCTCAAACCCTAAACCCCAAACCCTAAACCCCAAACCCTAAACCCCAAACCCTAAACCCCAAACCCTAAACCCCAAACCCCAAACCCCAAACCCTAAACCCTAAACCCGAAACCCCAAGCCCCAACCCCAAAACCCCAAACTCTGATCTTTGAAGGGGACGGCTGACACTTGAGAGCACAACCGATCGCCAGCAGAGATTCCTCCGGCAGCACCAGGCCTCTCTCAACCACGTGTGCCTTGCATTTTTCACGTGCAAGGTTTCAGGGGTGCTCAGAAGATGCCACATATGTAGGGGACCCTAAACCCTAAACCCTAAACCCTAAACCCTAAACCCTAAACCTTAAACCCTAAACCCTAAACCCTAAATACCCTAAACCCTAGGGCAACTTAGGGGGTCTGCAACACGCGCGACGAAGAGGCCACCGGGCTTTGAGGGCTCCAATCTATGCCGCACAGTTCTTTCGAGTCAAGTTTGGTTGTCCCCCGTTTCCTATCTGACCCGAAACTGTGGGTTTAGGGTTTAGGGTTTAGGGTTTAGGGTTTTAGGGTTCAGGGTTAAGGGTTTTAGGGTTGTATGACTATCCGTAGTAGGCTATAATGGAAACCCCAGGGCGAAGTTGTTTTGCAAGTTTTCCCTACTATCTCCCCGACAAGATACCCCACCTCAGGCACCATCAATGATACAAATTGCCCTCAACCCTAAACCCTAAACCCAAAACCCTAAACAGCCCCCACTATGAACCCTAAACCCTAAACCCTAAACCCCAAGCCCAAAACCCTAAACAACCTACTATGCATTTTTAAACCCCAATTGGGGCCCGCGGACCCTCAGCAGCTTCTCCATGGTGATGGCGGTGGCGGCGTCGTAGTGGTGTAGCGGACGCTGGAGGACCATGACTTCTGGGTTCCTTGTTCAGGGCTTTATAGGATTCAGGGTTTAGGGTTTAGGGTTTAGGGTGCATGTAGGGTTTAGGGTTTAGGGTTTAGGGATTAGGGTGTAGGTCTAGAAGCTTCTGGGTTTGTTTAGAGGGTCTCAGGCGGTAAAGGCCGGAGAGGTGTTAGGACTTTTGGAGATGTTCTGGAGTTTCGCGGCTTTGGGCATTTTCTTGGGGGGCGGGGGGGGGGGGGGGGGGGGGGGGGGGGGGGCTTTGGCGCTATGCCTTGCGGTTGAGCACCCTCATGTCATGTAGAAAAACCCAATCATCAAAGAGCCAGGCATGTTTCTCTCGACTCTTTTTTGGGCATTGTTTGGTTTAGGGGTTTAGGGCTAGGGGTTAGGGCTTAGGGCTAGGGTTTAGGGTTTAGGGTTTAGGATCTAGGGGTTCAGGATTTAGAATTAGGGTTTAGGATTTAGGGTTTAGTGCTAGGGTTCAGGGTTTAGGGTTTAGGGCTAGGGTTTGGGGTTTAGGATTTAGGGTCCCCGCATCGGATGGCCCTGAAAAACAGAACTCGCGGCCCAGGCTCATGATCAAAGCACGAGCCAAGCACATCCTGGGCCGATAAGACTAGGGTTTAGGGTTTAGGGTTGAGGGTTTAGGGGTTTAGGGGTTTAGGGGTTTGGGGTTTAGGGTTTAGGGTTTAGGGTTTAGAGATTCTGGGGCATGGTTTTGGGAGTTGCTGATTTGTAACTATGGCATCTGAACCCCTTGCCCCCCATATTTCACCCCCAACCACCCCTCCCAAAACCCGGAAGTTAGAATATCAAAAGCGCCCTGCAGGGCTTGAGGGTTTATAAGGTCGATAGGTTCTGGTGCCTTGCGCGTTTCGAGAGCCAGGGAGGAGCCTCTAAAGGTCAGACGGCTAAACCCCGCACCCGACACCCTACACCCTAAACTGGAATCCCTAAACCCTAAACCCTAAATCGAAAACCTAAACCCTAAACCCTAAACCCTAAACTCGAAACCCTAAACCCTAAACCCTAAACCCTAAACCCTAAAACCTAAACCCTAAACCCTAAACCATACCCCTCAACTCCCAGCACCTTACACTTTGGGCAAGCCGCTTCACCTTCTCCGTGTATGTGAGGCTTTCCATCCACGCGCTGTCCGCCCTTAGTGCTCCAAGGCTCCAAGTTACGGGAACACTACTCCCCACTACACCCCTATGCGGGCCCTATGCAGCCCTACGGCAGACTAAGCCCTAACCCTAAACCCTAAGCCCTGAACCCTGTTAAACCTTAGTAAGCCCTGTTAAAAACCCTATCAAGCCCTTGTAAGCCCTGTTAAAACCAACTAAGCCCTGGTTTCAACCCTGTTAAACTCGATGTTTGAGGCTTCGAGCTTAAGGCCATGAGGCTTGCAAGCTTTAGGGTTTAGGGTTTAGGGTTTAGGGTTTAGAGTGCAGGTTGCAGGGCGGAGCGCTGAAAGTGCCCTGGGTTTGGGGTTTAGGGTTCAGGGCTTAGGGTTAAGAACATGTAAAGGCATAACCTCCTCACCGCAAATCTCCTAAGCTCACAGACCCTTCAAAGCCTTAACAAAATCCAAGTCGCTGTGTAAGTTGCTTATGCGCTGCTCATATATGAGTGCTGCGGGATGCGACTGTACAAGGTTAGCGAGGAAATATGCTGAGGAGGAAAATGGGTTTGCGGATGTCCAGCAAACGCACTTTGCATGCCAAACGAAGCTCGGGAACCTGCACCAACCACACCCGCAGTGACTTTGCATTCCACTCGTCAAAAGGGCTCTGCTTGCCAAAATGCGTTTGGGAGCTTCGAGAAACGCGTTTTTCACATTGTATAGTATGGTTTCGAGTATAGGGTTTTTTTAATCGCTAGCGATTTTCCCATCTAAGCCCTAAACCCTAAACCCTAGACCCTAAACCCTAAACCCTAAACCCTAAACCCGACACGATAAAACCCTAGAAACAAACAGAAAAAAACGTCGCTGTCCCGGCCACGGTCGACTCCAGGTGTCTCCGGCTTTGCGGCGGCCCTCGCGTTCCACCCGGGCTAGATCCTGGCTTCTTTAGGGTTTAGGGTTGCTTTGGTTTATAATTTAGGGTTTAGGGTTTCGGGTTTAGGGTTGGGATGTTCCCCCTTATACTAACAGTCCTTAACAGGGATTATAGTACCCCCCCCCCCCCCCCCCCATTATAATCCCCATTAGGCCTATTTAAGAGTCCTTTATGTAAGGGGGAACATCCCAAGTCGAGGGTTGCTTTGGTTTAGGGCTTAGGGTTTGACTTGGGCGTCCTACTTCGTTACAAGGCAAGACCTTGACCCCTTGAACCTAGTTGATGGCTTCAGGCTTGCCCCTAAAACCAAACTAAAAACCTCAAACCCTGAACCCTGAACCCTGAACCCTAAACCCGAAACCCTAAAACCCAAACCCTAAACCCTAAACCCCGAACCCTAAAACCCTCAACCGGGAAAATCTTCCCAAAGTCCTCCTCAATCAGCTTCAGTGTGGCCGTCATCCCCATCATCTCGAGGATCTTCCGGATGCGCTTCGGGACGACGGGGCGGTCGCCCACGCCGAAGACCAAGTTCACCCAGGCAGAAGCCTCCAACGCCCGGTGTGTAAGCAAGTAAGCAAGGAGCAAGTAAGCAGGTAGGTAAGTAAGCAAGTAAGCAGGTAGGTAAGTAAGCAGGTAGGTAAGTAAGTAAGTACGTGTGCAAGTGTGTGGGTGCGCGGGTGTGTGGCCGGGTGGATTTCTAGCGGTTTTCGGGGTTTGTGTGTGGGATCCTTGTGGGCTCAGTTTAGGGCTTAAGGAGATGGGCCCCCCGTCTCCATCGGAGTACGGAGCCCCAGCGGACAGCCAATTCATGTTCCGAATCCCACAGAGTTGCAAAGCCTCAAGCATTCCGAGTATTGCTTCTTATGCCTAGGGTTTCAAGAGGCTCCTAAACCCTAAACCCTATCAACCGGCCACTCTTTAGGCTCCTGGAGTAATTCTTCTGTGGGGCTCTGTGGGGTCATTCGTGCCTTCCCCGTCATCCTCGAGTCGGCACCCTAAGCATCTTCAACTCCCAGCCAGAAACGCCTTCAACCCGAACGGCCCTAAAACCTAAGGGCCCTAAACCCTAACGGCCCTAAACCCTAAACCCTAAACCCTAAACCCTAAACCCTCCTCAAAGCCCCCCCCCCCCCCAACAACACCCCCGAGCTGCCAAGCCGCGTTCAGGATCAGCGGCTCCTGCGCTAAGTGCAGGATGCGCAGATGCGACGGGAAGAAGATGCAGCCATCCTTCCCCAAAAAACGGCGGTTGAGGGTTTAGGGTTAGTCTTACATGTAGGGTTTAGGGTTAGAACCCGAAGGACTCACATTTCAGGGTTTTTGGGCACAAAGGCCTTGCTACGTAAGGTCTTGGGCGATTTTTTGAGCCTATGAGGGTAAGGGCTAAGGCTCTTAGGGCTCTTAGGGAGTCTCAGCATTCTAGGGGGCTTAGGGTTTAGGGTCGGGGGGGTTTCATCCCTAAACCCGAAACCCTAAACCCTAAACCCTAAACCCTAAACCCCCAAAATGGCGGGTCTCAATTATTCTTTGCGGGGAGGGGAAAGGGCGGGTTGAGGGGCTTAGGGGTTTAGGGTTGGGGGGGGGAGGTGGGTTCCTCAATATGGATTGCGTGATTTTGAGGTGTAGGAAAGGGGGACCAGGGCAAAAAGGGTCCTCGGGAGTTTGGGTTTCGGGTCGAGGGCTGCTATGGTGTTGATGGTTGTCGCATTTGGTGTTGAGGGCCGAAAGGCTGAAAAGGGAAGGCTTGAAGGGCATTAGGGCAAGGGCTTTAGGAGGGCGTAATAAAGGGGCCTGAATAATTAGCACTGTTTTGAGGTCATTATAGTATATTTATATATAGGGACCATGATGGAATAGCATTAGTAGTTGTTCCGACGCCTATATATTCTGTTTAAGAGTGAAAGGGTTTTTGGGTTTTAGGCGCTATGCGGTCAGGGTGTAGTGGGGGATTCGATTCCCTCCTGGCCTGAGGCAAATTACGACTTTAGGGCTTACTGCTTCTGAACGCTTATCCCTGAACCCTGGAACCCTTCACTTGTGCTGCTGGACCAAGTATCGGCCTACACGCAATATGCCAAGATTCGCGGCTTCTTCTTTTGGAAATTCTCACCCTCTGAGACAGCGATTCGACAGCAACATTTTTGCCACGGTTGGGGCTTAGGTTTTACGGCTTCGGGGTTCAAAGTTAACTAGACCCGACCCAGGAGTAACCTAGAATAAAGAGGGTACCCGTATAAGGGAACCCCAACCCTAAACAACGGAAATGAGGGCCTACCCCGGGGCCAAGTAGCCCTAAACCCTAAAACCCTAAACCCTAAACCCTCTAAACCCTAAACCCTAAACCCTAAACAAGCCCATGAAATTACGAGTCCCATAACCATTGACCTGCCCTTCAGGCGGGGCAAGCGTAGGGCAGCAAGCCCTATCGTGGCCACCCTCAACCCTGAACCCTACTCCCAACACACTGAATTCTAAACTCTCAGCCCCAAACCCTCATCCCGAAACCCTGAATCCTAAACCCTCAACAGCCCTCAATCCTAAACCTAGTCCTAAACCCCATAAACCCTACAGTGAGGGCTTTGAAAACTCCGGTCCTTCGGGAAGATGATGTGGCTGAGTAGCCTCTCGGCCAGAGGCTGCCCCTCTCCCTCCCCATACCGTAAGTGTTCCGGTTTGGGGTTTAGGGTTTAGGGTTTCGGGAAGGGAGGGAAGGAGGGAGAGAGACGCATAAATGGAGATGACGCCTTCTTTTCAGATTCTTCCACAGTAGGAAAGTGCTGCCGAAATCTGACACCCCAAAGCCCCAATCCCTCAACCTGAGCCCGCAAGCTCCACTTGCGAATGGGTAGACTCCCAAACCTGAAAACCTGAAACTCCCTATGACACGCCCGCCGCCCAAAATAGAACACAAACCCCGTGTCCCTAATTAACCCCTAACCTCCCCGTATACCGCAAAACCCCCCCCCCCCCCCCCCCCCCCCCCCCACACCCCTCCGAAAAAGTAAAACCCGAAACCCCAACAAAGCCCTAAACTTTCCCAAGCCCCCTGAATCCGAAACCCTAAACCCTCCCAACCGGCGCCTCATCAATGTGGACTTCCCTGAGCCATGCCCCCCAGCAACAGCGACGAGCTTTCCCTGCGGAATCGTCACCTGAGGTGAAAAACCGCGAAGGGCTTGTGAGGATTTAGGGTTTGGGGTTTAGGGTTTGGGGTTTAGGGTTTAGGTTTACGGTTTCGGGCTTAGGGTTTAGGGTTGAGGCTTCAGGGTTTTAGCATTTGTAAGGCTTTCGGTTTTTCGGGCTTAGGGCTTTAGGGCATAGAAGGCTTTCGAGCTTAGGGCTTCAGGGCTTCTAAGGCTTTGGGGTGACAGGGCTTCATGATAAGGATTTGGGGTTTGGGCTTGGGGTTGAAGGCATTTGGGCTTGTTAACCCCAAACCCTAAACCCTAAACCCGAAACCCTAAACCCTAAACCCTATACCCTATACCCTAAACCCTACACAAGTTCAGTCTGGGAGGCACAAAATACAATTTCCACATAGGATGAGTTTGGGAAGGCAACTTGGGGCTGGCTCTGGGAACATGAAGCGGCCCTCAACTTCAAACCCTAAACCCTAAACCCTAGGCCCTAAACCCTAAACCCTAGCCCCGAGCCTCTGAGAAGGCACCCCCCTCCCCCCCCCCCCCCAAATCATACCCTATGAAACCCAAACACCCCCTTGCTGCGGTAAGCAGCGTTGACGTTCTGGAAGAGCGTTCTCGCCTTGCTTCCAAGGGAGCAGCTTGGGGCTCGATATCCTTTCGAGTTTCGAGCGCGTAGGTGAGGGCCCTAAACCCGAAACCCGAAACCCTAAACCAAAACCCTAAACTCTAAACCCTAAACCCTAAACCCTAAACCCTAAACCCTAAACCCGGGCTTAGGGGGCATAACTGAAATTTAGGGGTTTAGGGTGTTGGGGTGTATTGAAGGTTTAGGGCCACTTTAGGGTTTCGGGAAAGTTTAGGGTTCTGGGTCAGGGTGCAGGGCTCTGTGGCAGGGTTCCGGGCTTAGCTTTTAATTCCTAGGAGCTCATGTAAACGTGTTTACATGCAACGTGATCTTTCTGTGCTTTACAGTGTTCTCCTTGAGACGTGCAACGTGATCTTTATGTGCTTTGCAGTTTTCTCCTTGAGCATAAGTTTTTGAGAATTACAGAGTCTTGCTTCTGAAGCAGTACTGTGACAGAAGGCACAGACCCTTAAAGGTCGTTCTGCATGACATTTGTCGCAGATTCTGTTGGTAGCACGTTCCACGACTGTACCTTTGCTGGGGCACAGACTTCCAAGAAGCATCTGTATCTGATTTACAGGGAACATACTCTAGCAAGGCATGCTATAGCTTGGTTCTTTTACTCAACCCTAAACCCTAAACCCTAAACCCTAAACCCTAAACCCTAAACCCTAAACCCTAAACCCTAAACCCTAAACCCTAAACCCTAAACCCTAAACCCTAAACCCTAAACCCTAAACCCTAAACCCTAAACCCTAAACCCTAAACCTTGCTTTAAGTTTTCTTTGACGCATGTGCTCTGGTCTTCAGGAGCTTCAGGATTTAGAACAAGAAGTGAGCCAAGGCCTGGCCTGATTCCCTAAGGCCCTCAAGCCTTAAAAATCTTTTTCAGGGGTTTCCCTAAACCCTAAACCCTAAACCCTAAACCCTAAACCCTAAACCCTAAACCCTAAACCCTAAACCCTGTATAAACCCTAAACCCTGAACCCTGAAAGCCCGAAAGAACCGGCTTTGCAGCTCGGGATGTTGAAAGTTGGCTCGCTCCAATGGACCAGGGCACTGCATTCGAGTAGGACATGTTCTCCAGCCTCAGGCTCCAGGGAAGGAGGAGTTTAGGGTTTAGGGTTTAGGCTTTAGGGTTTAGGGCCTTTAGGGTTTAGGGTTTAGGGGTTAGAGGCGTTTATAAAGGTTGAATACAGGCGCTTACAAGGGCTCAAAGAGGGTCAAAGGGTTTTCATGGATAATCTAAACCTCAAACCCCAAACCGTATAAACCCTAAACCCTAAACCCTAAACCCTAATCTCTGAACCCTAAACATCCCAACAAAAACATGCCGCCCCCCCCTAAGCACTAACCCCGAGATTCCCAGTTGGCTACACGGTTGGAGGCTCCAGAGAATGGGGATGGTCGGAGAAAGGTTTAGGGTTTAGGGTTCAGGGTTCAGGGTTTAGGGTTTAGGGTTTAGGGTTTCGCCAGACCCCAAACCCCAAACCCCAAACCCTCAACCCTCAGCAACCAGTAGGTGCTGTTTTTTCTCTGGATCGTCCTACATAGGGTGCAGGGGTTTAGCAGGGGCTTCGGAACCCTAAAAATCCAAGGCAGCCCTGAGAAGCTCTGAGCAGCCCTAAATCCTAAACCCTAAACCCTAAACCCTAAACCCTAAACCCTCAACCCTAAACCCTAAACTGCAAACCCAAAGCCCTAAACCCTAAACCCTGAACCCTAAATGCTAGACCCCCTTCCCCTGCCGTTGCCTCAGCTCGATGAGGTCCGTCTTGTAGAGCCCCTCTTCTTCGGCTCCCTGTAAGGATGGGTTTAGGGTTTTTGGGTTTAGGGTTTAGGGTTTAGGGTTTAGGGTTTTGGGTTTAGGGTTTAGGGTTTAGGGCTTGGTGTCTAGGGTTTAGGGTTTGGGGCTTTTGGGGTTTGGGGTTTAGGGCTTGGGGTTAACAACGATTAGGGGGTTTAGGGTTGGGGGGCTTAGGGTAAGGGGTTTAGGGCTTGAAAGTTGGTGTTTCGGCACGGTTGCTTCTTCGAGGTGAATCCCACGCCATCTCAAGTCAAGCTAAAAACCTAGCAATAGGAAATCAAGATCTGTTTCACATGTGCACCCAGCTTATGTGCACTTCGAGGGTACCAGCGCAAACGCCTAAGCAGCCACCAGTGCCTCCTTGGCCAAGATGTCACCGCGCGCTTTTCTCCTTTGTTGGCACTTCAAAAATCCCAACGCTATCGCTTAAACACTACTCAAGTTTAGGGTTTAGGGTTTAGGGTTTAGGGTTTAGGGTTTAGGGTTTAGGGTTTAGGGTTTAGGGTTTAGGGTTTAGGGTTTAGGGTTTAGGGTTGCGCTTAATCTCGGGATGTGAGATTCTTCCAGGTCCACCTGCGGGCAAGGCTGCAGGGGCACTTTGAACCTTAGAGGTTCGGATTTGTTGAGAACGCTAAGCCGCTTCATTTTCTCGTGTAAGTCTCACTAACTCAAGCTACCCAAAACCCTAAACCCTAAACCCTATACCCTAAACCCTAAACCCCGTTGGCTACCCAGAAGCTTTGCTTCAAAGGCCATGCTTTCGCAGCTTGGTGCTTCATTCAGCTTCGCAGCTGGCACCCCCGAACTTTGAAGGCAACCTCCACACATTCGTGTTGGCACCTAAACCCTAAACCCTGAACCCCAAAATGTCCGAAACGATTGAGTTTTTCAAACCTTTAAACCCCAAACCCTACATCCTTAAAGCTGAGAACTCTGATGTTCTGAAGTGAACTGAAGGTGCTGGCGTGACTGCCCTAAAGAAGCGATGGCTTGCGCGGCCTGTGGTGTCTTCAGCATGGGTTCCTGGGTTTAGGGTTTGGGGTTGAGGGTTTAGGGCTTAGGGCATGTGGAATGTTGTTCAGCCATTTCGAAACAAGACGCCCTTGAACCCCAAAAAGCCCTCAACTCCCAGATCACCTCACCCCGTAAATGCCCTAAACACTACATACCTAAACCCCGAAATAATAAATCCCGAAACCCCGCTAACCCTAAACCCTAAACCTCAATTCCTAAACCCGAAACCCTAAACCCGAAACCGCAATTGCTAAACCCTCAATCCAAGGCCATGAAGCGTGTTCTCCCGCCGCTGCCGGTTGACGGCCTTCCAGGTGAGCAGGTCCTCTCTGCACAGGAGGGCTTGGGGCTTCGGGGTGGTTTAGGGTTTAGGATTTAGGGTTTAGGGTTGGGATGTTCCCCCTTATACTAACAGTCCTTAATCGGGATTATAGTACCCCTTGGGAGGTTTTAGGGCTTGGGTGGGCACTTATGAGCTTTCGCGCTTCCAGTGTCTGATGTTTTGGGGGTTGCGGGTCTAGGGTCTAGGGTTTCGGGGCTTTGGGGTTTTAGGGGCTTGAGGGTCTTGGGTTTAGGGGCTTTGAGGGCTTGGGGTTTAGGGCTTCGGGGTTTAGGGGTTTTGGAATCAGGAGTTAGGGGTTTTAGGGGCTTGAGGGTCTTGAGGGTTTCGGGTTTAGCGGCGTAAGGCGTTTACGTAGGGGTTTGGGAGGGTTTGGGGCTTAGGGTTCCCAAAAGTCCAGGAGGTGGGCACTTTTGGGCTTTCCTGCTTCCAGTGTCTGATGTTTGGGGGTTTAGGGTTTAGGGTTTAGGGTTTAGGGGCTCCGTCTGCTTGTTGAAGAAGACGGTGAGCTTGCGCACCGGCGCCGTCAACTCCACGATGTCCAAGACAACCTGCTGTCTCTTTAGGGTTTTGGGTTTAGGGTTTACGGTTTAGGGTTGAGGGTTTAGGGTTCCTTTTTGGCGAAAACCCGGCATATGAGGAAACCTAGGGAATCAGGAAATATCTTGTTAGCTTGTTGTATCTTGGTCCGATTCAAGCCTTGTTTCGTTCAAAGTTTTGTTTAAGGAGCCTGATAAGGGGGTTTCCGAAATTAGGGGTTCCCTTACTTTCGCAAACCCCCATAAATTGTGCTTGTACTTGTACTTGGTCATGAGGCGCCCAGGCACTGCTCTAAGGGTCTTTATAGTTCCTGGAAACTTCCAAGACAAGAGGACAAGGAAAGCGTCCTCCGGACCCGCACCCTAGACCCTAAACCCTAAAGCCTACACCGTAAACCCTAGACCCTAGATCCTAAACCGGGCCAAGCAGGAATATTCCCGAGGGGACTCCGCTCCCTTGATTCCCACTTTCGTCTACCTCGGTCAATCTCCCAAATGATTTTTGCCATGTACCCTAAACCCTAAACCCTAAAGCCCAGAAGGCCCTAAGTCAGCTTCCGGGGGGCGCAGTAGGCCCGGGCGAACTGGCCGCTGATGCTGCCCAAAATGCCTAGGGTTCAGGGTTTAGGGCTTGTCTTGGCCATGACTTTGCAGGTTGTGGGAGCTTCTTTTAGGCCTAAACCCTAAACCCTAAACCAAAAACCCTAAACCCTAAGAGGTGGGTGAACCAGCCCTGAGCCCAGAAACCTGCCCAAGAAAGGGCACCCAAAACACACGAGACTCTCCTGAAACCCAACAATTATACCCTAAACCCTAAACCCCAAACCCTGAACCCTAAAGCCTAAACCCGAAAACCCTAAACCCCAAACCCTACACTCGTGTCACATGCCAAATGGAGACATGGCTGCTGATGGTGGCCAGAAAGGTGCCGAGGGAGACCTGCCCGCGCCATCCCGGTGTGCTTTTTTCTCACCCCAAAACCTACGTTTTTGTAGGCTACCTAAGCATCCTACAAAAATGGTTGGTGTTGGTTAACCCTAAACCCTAAACCCGAACCCCTAAACCTTAAAGTGTAGGTGCCTGGAGAGACAAACAACCAAGACCCCCCGATCCTCCCAGAGATGAGCCTTCAGCCTCACTAGAATATCCCAAGCCAAGGCTTTACGTTTCGGGTTTGGGGTTTAGGGTTTAGAGTTTGGTGTTTAGGGTCCTGAAGCCCAAAAACTCTGTAAGCCAAGAGCCCTAAAGCCCAAAGCAGCCTGAACTACTATATGCTTCACACCACCAAACACAAAGATGCTAATCCCAATATTGCCCTTATCTGTTATTATTTGGGGGGGGGGGGAGTTCCGAAGCAGATAGAACTCCTAAACCCTAAACCCTAAACTCCATACTGAGTGAGCCGGGGCCGTCGAGCAGGGCGAACGCGCCGAAGCCGGCAGGCGAGGCCGCTCCCCGGAGCCAGAAGCCCTCCGGCGGGCGACGGAGCTCCAGTCCCGCAGGCAGCTGCGAGCTGCGCGGTGGACCCGGCAGGTCGCTGGCGAGAAACCCGTCAAGTTGCCCCAAACCTTCGGGTAAAACATCACAACCTCCTGCCCGTGCCGGAGGCCCCTGCCTGGGAGGCCCCTGCCTGGCCGCCCCTGCCTGGGAGGCCCCTGCCTGGGAGGTGCTGTCTTTGTTTGGGAGGCGCGAGGCGCCTGCGAGGCCCCTGCCTGGGAGGCCCCTGCCTGGGAGGCCCCTGCCCCCTGCCTGCGAGGTGCGAGGCCCCTGCCTGAGAAACCCCTGCCTGCGAGGGCGTGCCTGGAGGCCCCTGGCCCCTGCCTGGCTGGGAGCTGCCTGGGTGCCTGGGAGGCCCCTGCCTGATGGGAGGCCCCGCAGCAGGCCCCTGCCTGCGAGGCCCCTGACTGGAAGCCCTTGTCTGGGAGGCTCCTGCTTGGGAGGCCTGTCTAGTAAATTCTGCCGGCTGGGCCCTGCCCAGCAGGCCCCTGCCTAGGGTTTTTGCAAGGGATCCAGATCCCCAGCCAGGACGCAGCATGCAAGGGCGAAGGCGGCAGCCAGCCCCAAGCCCAAACCTTCGGGTTTTGAAGTTTTAGAAAAACTTGCTGGGAGGCTGTGGCCCCTTGCCTGGGACTGGATCTGCTTACCCTGCCTGAAAAACAGGCCTTGGCCTGAGGTGCCTGGCCCTTTCAAGCTAGGGATCCAGATCCCCAACAAGACGCAGCATCACCAAGGGCGAAGGCGGCAGCCAGCCCCAAGCCCAAACCTTTGGGTTTTTCACTTTTAAAATGATTCACAAGGCCACCACGACTCCAACAAGGTCCAGCTGCAGCATCAGCGAAAGCGAAGGCAGCAGCAACCGCCCATCCCACCCCTTTGACTTCAGGGCGCGAAGGCGGCAGCCTCGAATGAGGCAAACTTCTGATTTCACGCCCTTCCAAGCAAGTTTTCCAACCCCCGCCCAACACGCAGCATCACAGAAGGCGAAGGCGGCAGCCAACCCCAAGCCCAAACCTCTGACTTTTGGCTCTCCCAGCAGCCCTCGACTGATAGACATCTCCCTTGCAATGCCTAGGGGCTGCGAGCTTCAGGGTAGTTGATCGGCATCGATGCCGAGCTTCTAAACCCAACCAATAGACAAGAGAAAAATAGCAAAAGCACGATCAGAGTTCAAAAGAACCCTAAACCCGTAGAGGTTAAGGCGAGGGTGGAGCGCCAGCGGGGGTGGGCTTATGCAACTCGGGGCGCGCGCCTGGGTGCTTTCAGCACCAGCGCGCCCACTCATTGAGACACCCCTAAACCCTAAACCCTAAACCCCACACCCCTAAACCCTAAACCCTAATATAGGTGAACCCCGAACCTGCCCGGTCAAGACGTTATTGGCATCCATGGCGATGTAGAGGCCAGTGAAGCCGGGGCCCAACCTAATGGGGTTTAGGGTTTAGGGTTTAGGGTTTGGGTTCAGTTGTTTTTGGTTTGGGGTTTGGGGTTTGGGTTTGGGGTTTGGGGTTTGGGGTTTGGGGTTTGGGGTTTGGGGTTTGGGGTTTGGGGTTTGGGGTTTGGGGCTTGGGGCTTGGGGGTTTGGCGGTTTGGAGTTTGGGGCGTGAAATCCCTAGACCCTAAACCCTAAACCCCTTATTGACATGCAAGGGACCTTCGAGAAGTTGGTTTCGTTTCTAAGATTCCTGAAAATCAGGAGCGTCTGGAGAAATCTGTTGGACTCTTTTTTGGGCGGCTTTGCTGGAATTTCGTGGTCTTTAGTATTTATAGGGCTTAAGGTGATTTATAAGGGCTTATGTGGGGGTTTAGGATGTAGGGATTTACGTACGGTTTAGGGTATAGTGAGGGTGCTTAGGCTTCAAGATTTGGGAGTTGGGGTTCGTTGGGGAACGCTTAGGGCCCGTGTGGTTACATTGTTTTGTTGAGGGGGCTTTGCTGGGGTTCTGTGGGTGTACGACCCTAAACCCTAAACCCTAAACCCTAATTAAACCCTAAACGCTGAACACTAAACCCTAAACCCTAAACCCTAAACCCTCCTAAACTCCAAGCGGCCATTGCGGGAACATGTCGTCGTTGAGCTTTGCCAAGGCTTTCCGACTCTGGGCCTTCCGCAAGGCCCCGGCCGTTGCCGCGAAAGCCTCTGTCGGTTTAGGGTTTAGGGTTTAGGGTCTAGGGTTTAGGGTCTAGGGTTTAGGGTCTAGGGTTTAGGGTCTAGGGTGGAGGGCTTGAAGGCTGTAGAGTTTTGGGGCTTGGGGGTTTAGGGTCCTCGGTTTGGGGTCTTAGGGATAAGGGTTGCTGCGGTTAACGGTTGTGGGGCTTGGGGTTGTAAAATTTGGGGTTTAGGGTTTGTTTAGGGTGTAGGGTTTAGGGTTTAGGGTTTAGGGCTCTAGGTTTGTTCAGGGCTTTAGGCTTAAGCAGATAGGGGTCCTCGACTGTGAGAGGGTCGGAGGCCAGCTGGGAATCTTCGGCTCCGGGTTTAGGCTTTAGGGTTTTTGTGTCCCCTCAACCCTGAAACCTATGCGACCCTAAATCCTCAACCGCTTTGGGAGTTTCGATTTGTAGAGAGGACCCGAAACCCTAAACTTCACATAAGCCCTGTTTCGGCCGCTCGCAGCACTCTACTGGAAATCCTCCACCCCCGATTTCGGGGCGCCTCATTCATCTGCGGCCGCTGGAAGTAGTCTGCTACGAGACGGTATCCTGAAATCTGGGCAGGTTTAGGGTTTCGGGTTTAGGGTTGAGGGTCATGTTTTCAGGCGAAGTCATGGGGTGGAAACCAATCAGAACCCTAGCCCCCCGAAATCCTCTGAAATCGGGTTTCTGGCGGGAACACACATCCGTGGGAGCTCGTCGTCGCCATGCCGGGTTCTGTTTCTTGGTACCCCAGCAACCAAATGATAATAAGGGCACCCTTTTTTGGTTGGTTAATTCATAAGGGAACCGTGAACCAAAAAAGGGAAAAGGGTACCACTGGGCTACCAAGGTTTTCAGGAATTTTGGGGGTTTGGGGGTTGTAGGTTTTAATGTTTAGGGTTGTGGGTCATGAGCTCAGCGTCGTCAGGGGAGGGGAGAATTCCTGGCGAACATCATGTTCAGCCCTACAGCAAACAGACTGGATGCCCGAAAGAACTCGAAGAGGAAATATCAACCCAAATGTGGGCGTTGCTCGAAGCTCGGGGCTCATTAAAAGCGCCAAGCATGAAATTTGGGGGCCACGGAAAACCACGTTTCAGCCCTTCGATCCCCCTAAACCCGAAACCAGAGCCAGACCTATGACATCCTAGAAGTTTAGGGTTTAGGGTTTTAGGGTTTAAGGTTTATAGGGTTCATGAACATCCCTCTAAGGGTAGTTATAAGGGTAGTTGCATGGTCCCTTAGTATGGTCCGTTGAAAGAGTACCCATTCTATATCCCCTTATATACCCTATACACTTTAAGGGCCCACACATCAGAACCCTTTAAAGGAGGTTCGCAAACTGAAGCCTTTCTGGGGATTGCAGAGTTTAATTCTTTTCGGGCCCTAAACCCTAAACCCTAAACCCTAAACCCTAAACCCTAAACCCTAAACCCTAAACCCTAAACGCTACACCCTACACCCTACACCCTACACCCTAAACCCTAAACCCTAAACCCTTCCCGCGCCGGAAGAGTACTGTAGTCAAGCTGCGCTCGCAGACTTCGGCCACAATGCGTAGGACCAGGGCCTCCTTCACCTTTTGAAAGGCTGGGGCAATGGGTCTAGGGTTTAGGGTTTCGGGTTTCGGGTTTAGGGTTCAGGGTTTAGGGTTTAGGGTTTAGGGTTCAGGGTTTAGGGTTTAGGGGTTAGGGTTTCGGGTTTCGGGTTTAGGGTTCAGGGTTTAGGGTTCAGGGTTTAGGATTTAGGGTTTCGGGTTTCGGGTGTAGAGTTCAGGGTTTAGGGTGTAGGGTTTGCGGTTCGGGTTTAGGGGGAGCAATGTCGGCGGTGAGGGGGGGGGTGGGCGGGGCATTTGTTATTACGGTATTCTGGGCGGCTGACATTCTAGAAAGATCGGAACCCTAAAGCCCTAAATGCAATCAAAACTTGACTATGGGTTACAAGGAAAATTCTCGATGGGGTGTAGGGCTTCATGGGAGGGCTTATATGACGGAACACACCAAGTCTCATAAACCCCAAGCGCCAAACCCTATAAAACCCTTGTTCAACCCAACCTTTTCTCTGAACCCTCTTTGAGTGCAGATGCGCGGAGCTTTAGGGAGCCTCGCAAACACACTCTTTCCGAGCAAACGTGCCTTCCACTCGTTCACGCCCGCGCGGCACCTCAGCAGAGGGCTTTAGGGCATTTTAGGGTCTATAGGTGGGCTTTTGTGGCGATAAGTTGCGATGACGGGACCCGAAACCCTAAACCCTAAACCCTAAACCCTAAACCCTAAACCCTAAACCCTTGCGCCAAGACATGTGCCTCACATGACTCAAACCTTTAGGGTTCAGGGTTCAGGGTTCAGGGTTCAGGGTTTAGGGTTTAGGGTTTAGGGTTTAGGTTCTAGGGTTTAGGGTTTCGGGCTAGAGATTAGAGTTCACGGTTTCGGGTTTAGGCTATCCTACAAGCACGTGAGCTCCTACAAGGCATGTTATTGCGGCGTGCCTAGCGAACCCGCTTGAAAGGGTTCCCCCCCCCTCGATGCAACATGTTCCACCGGGTGGTTTCCCAAATTAGGGGTAGCATATTTGCGCTTATTATAAGGGAATCCTACTATTTGGGGGTCTCTGTTTGGGGTCCCCCCTGTTTTCGTATTCCGCCACTTGGGGAAGGATCTAGTTAACCAGCTTCTGCCCAGCAACCAAGAGGAGTAAGCAAGGGTCCCAACTTTTTGGTACCCTAAACCCTAAACCCGAAACCCTAAACCCTAAACCCTAACCCCCCAAAGCATGGACTCACACGCGGCCCAGGTGCAGGTTGCTCACGATGGCGAAATAGACCACCATGCACTTGGTTGTCACAGCAAGGTTAAGGGTTTAGGGTTTGTGTGGGTCCTGGCAGAAATTCACTGAGTTCGAGTGCTGGATACACGATGACCAGCCCAGGCCTCTCCTCATAGTGCTGGCCGGCTAGAGTATCTCAACCTCTAAATCCTAAGCCCTAAACCCTAAGACAAGCAGCGGCGGGCATCGCCAAGATGAAGGCTATGGCGGCGGGGTTGCGGTCAAGCGTGAAGTAGGAGAAGACAATGAGCCTCGACCCACCCAAAGGATCCATGCACCTATCTAGTATACTTCAGGGGCCTGAATAGTTAGAACAGGGTTTTGGGGGGTCATTATAGTATAACTAGAAAGGGCCTATAAGGGAATACTGCTAGTAATTCTCCCGACCCCTATATTGCTTGGGCCCTCAAGCCACTATATAAGACCCGCTTTAAGGCCTAAGTATATGCCATACAGGCACATGGAGCCTCGCCCCCAGAGCCAGGCGGTCCATCCCCCCTGTTTTGTGACCACTGGCGGGCAGGAACTTGAAAACCTAAAGCCTACAGCCCCCAAACCCCTAAAGCCCTAAAGCCCTAAACCCCTAAACCCCTAAAGCCCTAGAGCCCTAAACCCCTAAACCCCGCCCTAAAGCCCTAAACCCGAATACCCTAAACCCTGCTACCCCCCAAAACCCTAAAAACCCTAAACCCCTTTCAACCTGAAGCAACGAAGCCCTTCAGCCCGGCAGCTCGCCAATGATCGCGATGAGGTCCAGCAGCTTGATGTAGGCGTTGGCTGCATTGCCTTTTCGGAGCATTCTTCCACGGTCCGCGGTTTCGGTAAGCACCAAACAACCCTTCCCGTAAGCCCCAGAAGTCCCAAACCCCGAATCCTCAAAAACTCAAGCCCTAACAGACCTAAGAACCTGAAAAGAACCGTTTAACAACCCCAAGACCTTCAAGCCCTTGAAAAACCTCCTACTACGACCCCCCTCAAAAAAAAGTAAATACACTCTTCTTTATAAGGGCAGCATAGGGACTGTCGTCGTTCATGTTTTGGGGTTCTTGTGCAAATAGTAGCCTCGGAGCACCCTGTTGGCTGAGGATTTCGACTTCCCGCAACCCGAAAGAAGAAAAAAAGGGCCGGAGCTCAGGGAAGAGATGCTGAGTCGGTTCCCTGCATGGAAGGTTTCGGGCATGTGGGGTTTAGGGCATTTAAGGTTTCGGGTTTATCAGGGTCCAGGGTTTAAAGGTTTAATGGTTTCGGGCATTTGGGGTTTAAAGGTGTTGAGGTCTTAGGGCTTGTATCTTAGGGTTTAGGGGCGTTCAGGGCTTAGGGATTCGAGGAAGCACCATGGCCGCCTGAGTCTCGCGTAATGGCAGTCTGCATATCCGAGGGTGCAACGGATGCGCGAGCCTCTTCACCTCAGTGAGGGTTTAGGATTTCGGGTTTAGGGTTTAGGGTTCCGGGTATCGGGTACAGGGCCTAAGCATGCTATTGCTGTAACCATATTTTGGGAACTCTGCGCCTACCTCCTGAATTTAGGGTCCAGGGTCCCCAAGTGAAAGAGCTCCAAACATTCTGAACCCTAACCCTCAAACCGAAAATCTGAAGCCCTCTAAACCCCAAGCCCTGTACTCAAGAGACTAGTGCCAGAGCGAGAAAAAACTGACTAGTGGCTCGTAAAGCTTTGTCGGTCAAATGCATGGGGGATGCCCCTTGCAGTTCTGGCTTCCAGGGCTTAAAGTTTCGGGTTTAGGGTATATTTAGGGTTTAGGGCCCCTAAGTCAAGTGCAGAGGAAACCCTAAACCCTAAGCCCTAAACCCTAAACCCTAAACCCAACACCCTAAAGCCAACACCCAGCAGGAAACTAAAGACCAAAGCTGTCAGGTGGCTGTAGTTCAAATACTTCCGGAAGAGGCAGCTTTGCAAAAACAGGCGAAGTTGGCCGGGCAGGTCCATCTGAACCTCTTCAGCTTAGGGTTTAGGGCTTAGGGCTTAGGGCTTAGGGTTTAGGGTTTAGGGTTTCGGGTTTAGGGTTTATGGTTTACGGTCTTAGGGCTCAGGGTTCAGGGTTTGTAAGGGTTATAGAGTGTATGGTTTAGGGCTTATATAGATTATGGGGTATGTTCCAATACGGCCACCCTTTTCTGGTCAGAGTTATCTCAAGGAAACCAGAACTACGACAGTGCAACGGGTACCTCGGACCTAGGAGAGAAGAGAGCCGTTCTTCGACGGTTTTCTAGGATTTAGGGCTTGAGGTTTACGGTTTGGGGCTCAGGGTTTGGGGAAGGCGTAGACTTTGCCGCTCGCGCCTGTGCTACCGCTGTGCCACAAACTGTGTAGTAGCCGATGCTGGCAGTAGCTACAGCTAAGGTATGGAATGTAGGCATGCTCAGGTTGGGCATCTTTTCCTACGAACAGTATAGTGCCGTGCTCCACCAGTCGTAGTGTCATTCGGCCGTCTTTGGCTTTGTGAAAGCACCTCACAACACTTACGCTTCATAATTCTCATGGTTCTCAAGCCCTTAACCCTATAAACTCCAGCCATTGTGGCCCAAAACCCTGAACCCTTTGGGGGAATTAGCGACCTCAAAAGCGGCAAAAACACCAACGCCCCTCATAGCAGGGCGACCTGCCACAAACACCCAACAATCCAAGACCCGAAAAAGCCCAGTATCCCTAAACCCGAACCCTAAACCCTAAACCCAAAGCCCTAAACCCAACACCCTGAACGACCCTGAGCCCTACTACATGCGCCCAGCGCCGCCATGCAAGGGATCTTGAAGCCCCAAAAACAACAAAAAGCTCTTTGCTTATTCAACTGCCGAAGCCCCAGGATTCGCACATGCAATGCAAAGGCGTTTAGAGACCGACTGTGCTCATAACCATATTAGGGCACTTGAGGGGCTTACAAGTGGGTTTATAAGTACAGATATACTTGGTTAACAAGTACCCCTAAACCCTGAAACCTAAACCCTGAACCCTGAACCCTGAACCCTGAACCCTGAACCCTAAACCCTAAACCCTAAACCCTAAACCTCCGATAAGTACCATGTACCTCCAAGTAGAGGCTTCATGGGCATGCGCCTGGATCACCGCGCCCACGTGAATGGCAATCATTGGCATCCTTACGGAGGAGGGTTTAGGGTTTAGGGTTTAGGGTTTAGGGTTTAGGGCTAAAGTCCCTCAACTCCCCCCAAACTTCCCCCGAACATTTCCCGCAAAATTCCCTTGCCCCCCCACATTCCCCCTAAACTGCCCAAAGCCAAAGCGGACAGGGCCTCGGGTTTGGGGTTTGGGGTTTAGGGTTGAGGGTTTTTACGGCTGCCAAGCGCATCCCAAACTCGTCGCTAGCGGTTTGAACAATTCGATGTGGCGCGTGGGCGCAGTCTCCAGATGCTGTGCAAAGGTGGGGAACTTCTCTAAGTGTTGTTTGGTGTTTTAGAACCATCAGGGCATGCGACTCTACTATCTCCAACCAATATCTCTGTGGATGACCCTCCTTACTCTCTTCGTGAACTTGACTCGGCCCTTCAAACCTGGTGAAATGACTACGTGTCTTAGGGGGGTTGAGGGGGTTGAGGGGGTTTAGGGTTTAGGGTTTAGGGTTTAGGGTTTAGGGTTTAGGGTTTCGGCCAAGACACACGTAGAAGCAGCCCAGGAGGACGGCGGTACCAGCTCGGTCAGGCATCCAGAGCTTCTCCTCCCGAAGAGCATTTCGGAAGGATCAGGGAGGTTTAGGGTTTAGGGTTTAGGTTTTAGGGTTTAGGGTTTAGGGTTTTGGGTTAGGGAGTTTTAGGGTTTAGGGTTTGGGGTTTAGGGTTTCTGGTTTAGGGTTTGGGGCTTAGGGTTTGGGATTTCGGGAGTTTTAGGGTTTAGGGTTTGGGGCTTAGGGTTTATGGGTGCCAAACATTGGCTTGAGGGTTTAGGGCTTATGGGTTCGAAACCTTGGGTTTAGGGTCTAGGATTTTTTGTTTAGTGTTTAGGGTTTGAGGTTTAGGGTTTGGGGTTTAGGGTTTACAGGGTCTAGGGTTTTTGGGGAGGCTTTCGGACCGAGACTAGAAAGGCAGGACCCCCAGCCCTCACACTCGCGCCACGTAGGGATGGGGGAAAGATCGCGCTCACCAGCACATGCACTACAAGCACAGAATCAGAAGCAGGAACCTGAGGAGGACGATGCCACTATAGCTGCAACAACAACAGTGGCACTCACGAAGGCAGACTATGACACGCTGAAGGCCACAGTTTTGAAGCAGGATGCCAGATTGAACACTGTCGAGTGGAAATCCGCGAAAACAGCGTCACTTCTGCATAGAGACCAAGAACTTGAGGCGTCAAAACAGCTGCTCCTCATGGGATGGCCGACCGGCATGAGCGAACAAGACCGTGACAGAGAAATCCGTAGCATGGCACAGTACTATGGGGTAGTGGACAAGTTGCAGGGCACCACCACGCTGAAGAACAAGCAAGGACTTGGCCACTTCACCATTGTGCACATGTGGGACAAAGACGCGCGTAACACCTTCCTGCACCAAGTCAAGAACGACCCGCATAAGCTCAAGGGCAGCACCATCGTAGGAAGACCGCAGATACCCCGCTACCGCCGTGAACAAGATGCTCCCATGAAGTGCGCCATGAAGGCACTGGCGACCATCTATGGCGGCAACCCCAAATTCCGACCAACCTGGGAACTGCAGGCTCTATGGCATGAAACCGAATGGGTACTAGCAGTTGCTACGGACGCAAGCGATGCAACCAAAGTGACAATCTTCGTCCCCGATGACAAGAAAGAGGAGTTTGAGAATCAGTTTGCGGAGGATTGGCCGACATGGCAAAATCGGGGCAACCAGACGGAAGGCAGTCCACAAAAATACCTTCGCATCACCATTGCCGCCTTCACCGAGGAAAATTTGCAGGAGCTGAACGACCGCTACGCAACTATGAGCACGCGCTCCCGCAGCTCCAAAGCCTCGGACGACGTTGACATGACGACGGCTGAAGAGGAGTCCGGTTCCCGCTACCCCGCCAAAGGCAGGGGAAAGCGCTCGTCTTGAATTGTACATAGCGGCACGCGTACTCTGCGCAGTACAACCGCAGACCGTAATAAACACTCACCTCGCGCAAATTCTTCACATACGACCACTTCTTGCACGACCATTACTTACTCACACCTGCCAATGCGCCGCCCAGCAGGCAAGCCGGGCACACCGCGAAGCAAATCTTTAAAGAAGAAGCGTTTCACGACCATTTTTGACGACCATGTTGTATGCAATAATCACACAAATTCAAAGCTTCAGCGGCTACAGAGACACACTCGGTCAGCAAAAAAGAGAGGTAGGAGGTCTACACTTGCAACCACACAGAGAAAAGCAAACTTGGCCACCAAGCGGTCGCAACACCGCCGGTGGTATAGATGGTGTAAATCAAATGTTGGCTACTTTGAAGAAGGCCTAGACAGGCGCCGTCCGGGCAACGGTGGCCTCACCTGCTCGAAAGCAACTGCCTCTCAGCCCTTGAAAGACACCCGGAACGCGGGTTTGTTTGCTTACGAAGACCATACTGAGAACAGAAAGCGTTCACCTCATTTATCCAAGCTTTTTCATGGTACTTCACTTAACATTGCTACCCTCAACGCCTGTTCCCTTTTGAAACCTTCAATGCATCATCAGATTGTCCAGTACATGAAGTCCAAGTGCATTGACGTCCTTTGTCTACAAGAAACCAAAGCCAAGCGTACTTCTTACTACATGATCGATTCGTTTACCTTCTACACATTCAGCAATGCGAGCCCCGACAAGCAGGAGCACTATGGT